CTGCCAGCACCAATTTCCCGTCTAACAATAAACGAATCGAATTTTTTTGTTTCGTTTTGTGTAACTTAAACGATAGCGTGTTCCGTCCATTAGCGGCGAAGCATCGCGCGAATAAAAGACACGCAACGGACGTTTAACGATGAAATTCGCAGCCCGTTAATTCCGGGCCGTGCTTCCGCCGCGGGAATTCCAATAACGGGTTCGCCGGGAGGAAAGAGACTCATATCGCAGGAAAGTTGAAAGAATAAATTCAAGAACCGTTTGCTCGCCCGAGCAGCCACTACGATGTAATACTCTAATAAAGAGAGTAACGGGAGACGCGGCCCGTCGGTTCTCCCGGCTGTAATTCGATTTTCGACGCGACCCGGGAACGTTTCCACTTTTCGGAAGTTTAATTGGAGATCGCTTTCTTCGATCCGCGATGTGTAGCGGAGAATTAATGGCGACGGGTGGGGGGGGGGGGATGGAAGCCAAAGTCGAGTTTCATTCGGTGGCTCGGACTCTAAGCCGGTGGGAATATGAAGCCGGATACAGTCGGCCGCGAGTAGAACAGGTTCGCCGTTTACGAAACAGTCGAGCGAGATCGGCGCGGCGCAGCTGCGCAGTGAAATGAAACGTCTGTCTTCTTGGACATCGCCGGCAAAAATTGATCGTCGAAATTTTGTACCACAGCTTTGTGAAATCGTTGACAAGCAGATCGCGGATTTTACGGATTTACGAGACAAATGTTAACGCGAAATGGGAAGAACGTCGGAAAAACAAAAGGACGCAGGCCTGTTATTTCTAACCTATTAGAACTATTAACGCTTTCGCGACAGCGCCGATAACCTCGAAATGTTCGTAAGATTAAAGTATTCCATTCGATTGAATGAAAATTGCGTGGCAAACTTATATGACATCGGTTGCTTCTTAAAAATAACCTTAACGTAACCTTGACATAACCTCTTGCGAATCTTAATGAAACGAAGAAACCGTTTGTTAATTTTTAGAAATTAGAAGTGGCAGATTTCCCCGATTCGGTCGTCGATCGACTGAATTTGAAACGGGGAGATCTCCCCATTCGGTTGGCCAAGTGTCGAGAGAAGAGATGCATTTTTAGTCGACGCTGATTTCTTGAAATCGACGGGGAACATTTTCATTTCGCACAAAGATCCGCGGTCTATTAATAAGCGATCGTGAGATAACACAAAGAAACGAACTTTACATTCGCGTCAGGTTCGATCCGAACGCGTGCGAATCCGACCGTTATGAAAATTCCGGTCTTTTCGTTTTCCGGTCGCTCCGCTTTAAATAACGATCGCCCGAATCCTGTTAGTTTACAAGTTCTCGATGTTCTCCATATTATTGGGTATCTCATTGACAACGATTTTCTACAGAAAAACATTCTGACTTTGTTTAAATTTCATCGCTCGACAACCGTACGAAATGAAAATCCATCGCATTCGACGCTATCGTAATTCGACCAACGATTTCAAGTTCCGCAGAAAACCGGCCGAGGTCTGAAACACCGAAATTCGCTGCCTCGGTGGCAAGGTTTTGAGAAGTGGAAGAATTAGCTGCCAATAGCTGCGACCAATAAAGTAAATCTAACGTACGCGTACCAACGTGTATACGTACATAATATATGTACATTAGATTTATTTTATCGATCGCAGCTAGCAGCGGCTAACTTTTCTACTTTTTACTCCCTTTTTTACGATCGCTTATTAAAGATTCAACGAAGCTATAGTACAACGTTACAACAGCATACAATTAGTACAAAAATGTTCCCAACGTAAAAAACATAACCGACGTGACATAAACGACATAACCAACAAAAGGAACGACATTTTTGTCACGTATAATTGAAATCGTTTCGACGTTTTCGTCATTAGTATATATTTTCGACTCGATAATATCATAGCCGGTGCTGAGAAGAATTCTACGACCTGCTATACTACGACCTTGAATCGTTCAACAACGTCGAAATAATTCTCTGGACACCATAAACGGATTCGAAGCCAACTACGCGGTAGCGGAACGGCACTAGCTTTTGGTAGACAATGAATTTTACATTCGCGTGACACTGATGTATTTTATGCGGACGGAATATAGAGAGCTTGTTGGACGCAGCGCGAATACGGCATTCCGGGGTTACGAAGACTTCTCTAATTAGACAAGAGGATGATTGAAGAGGACGTTGCCGGCAGGGAGATGCCGCCGTTGTCCCTGCTAGTAGGATCCAGTGTAATTGATCGATCGCCTCTACATTCGATTGCACGGTAGACTGGTACATGATTACATTTGGACTTCGGATGCTCGATCCTTCCGCAAATGACGAATCATGGAAGCAGCAGTTTGCGGCTGAAAAGGTGACGAAATCACGAGGAAGTTAGCAGCAACATCGTACGGAAAATGCGAGACTGAAACATAGCATGTTATACAGCGGTGTGCATAATTATACAGAGTGTCCCATAATAATATTAACACCCGGAAAAGTGTGATTCCTGAGGTCGTTTGAAGTAGCTTTTTCCTTAGCGAAAATGCAATCCTCGGCTTCGTTAAAATTAAGCTTAAAATCGTTTTGAAACTGAGGGGTTCCTTTGGTGATTTGAAGTAACTTTTTCCTTTATAAAAATGTTCTCCGAGGCGTCGTCAACGAGTTATTAACGAAAAACTGTGACCAATGAGAGGCTAGCTTGGCTGGCGCGCGGCGGCCGAGCCAATGAGCGAACGAAGCCCAGTTCCCGCTGATTGGTAGCTTCGCGCCAGGCGAACTCGCTTCTCATTGGTTGCTGTTTTTCGTTAATAACTCGTAAACAAAGCCGCGGATTGCATTTCCGCTAAGGAAAAAGTTACTTTAAATGGCCACAGGAATCTCGCAGTTCCCGATTTTGAATAACATTTGGGACACCCTATAGGAAAGGAAATAGAGACCGAGTACATATTAGGGAAACGACTATAGAGGTTAAGTGGATGCGGGAAAGCAGGCTGCTCGAGGGTCATCCAAGATCCTCCAAAATTCTCCAAGGTCCTCCGGCGTCCTTCAAGATTCTTCAAGATTCTCCAGGCTCCTGTAAGGTCCTCCTAGGTCCTTCAAGATACTGTAAGGTCCTCCAAGGTTCCCCAAGGTTCGTCGTGATCTTCCAGATCCTCCAGCGGACCTGCAAAGGTCCCTTTTCAGCTCAAAGGGTCAAGACTCGCGGGACTATTCCGAGCTCTGTGCAAGTTCTTCGAGTCCGATGGCTCGAAAAGAGACTGAAAATCTCTGGCATGCGCATCTGCGTTTACATATTTGAAACGCAGATCGATGCCGCCGCGCTATCCATAAAATGATCTGATAGCTGATAACGAAACAATACTGATACAAAAAAATCTTTGGCCATTCCACCGAGTAATCCTGAATAAAACGTAAATAAACAATACACAATTACATAAGTAAATAATAAATAAAACATCATCGATGTTGATACTGTGAGAAGATATTTTAATTGTTCCATCTAATTTTATCTTCATTTTGACATTGGTTTTAATATTCTTTCGCTGTTTCTTATTTTTGTCTTTTTCTCTGTTCTTTTTTTTTTATTAAACATTCTTCAAGGTGGCCATCACAAATCGCATAAGAATTATATTTATATTGAAAGTGAATATAAAACACAGAAAGGTATTTAGGCAT